GCCGGAATCTAAGTTGCGTTACACAGTAACGTTACGTTTAACGTTAAAATCCAGCTGACTGTGCCACTTGTGGCCTTTTCCCCTCTCATTGGCTCCGAACTGAGTCTAATGAAGAAAAAGTCTGGAAGTCTGCAGTTTTTCGACAGACGAAGGATTGATGTTCGAATGCTGTGCTACGCAACAGACCAGCAGTGACGAAAGCGGTCATGACGTTATTAAACAGCTGTTGGAACATCATAGTTCGATAACATATGCCACCCAATGTCTCGCCTGGGTGTTATGTTTCTTCGCGAGAATACGTCACGAGGAGCGTGTAGTAACAACTATTTAGTAAACAAAGAAATAACACAGTGCAACTATTTCAGTGAAGATATAAACAGCCTACAGAAAAATGTGTAGCTACACAATAGAAGCAAACTGCTGTGTTTAACACCCTATCTGGATAAAAAATGCAGTCTACGAGTTGGAGGACGTTTTTAGAATTCTAATTTGTCGGCCGAAGCGAAGACAGTAACAGGACAGGAACATAGGAAGACATTACATAGAGACGTTCGCTTGACACTAGCCCAAACTAGGCAGCGATACTGGATCGTAGGTGGCAACCACGCAGTAAAAGCCATTTTACACCACTGTGTCAGATGTCACCGATTCAAAATGACAAAGAGCTGTCAAAAAACAGAGAGTATCGGCATCTAGACCGTTCACTCACTGTACTTTACGGGTTACGTCGTAGTTAGTTAAGCTGATTATGGGAAGAGGAGTAAAGACGAGCAAAGATTATATGGCTATCTAGCTGCTTTAAAACTTTAGTGCTCTAGACGAGGAATATCCAAGCATATGTACTCAGATAACCACTACTAATTTCACTAATCTCAAAGGCGCAGCCAAGATCCTGCAGAATGAGTTTCAAGAGTATCGAACGATAACTTCACCGGAATTCTTCGACGCTATCGGCGAATAAGAGGTCGAATGGCATTTGTCCACGTTGGCCTTTTGCAGCTGGAATTTGGGAGGCAGCAGTTAAGTCGATGAAATACCACCTTATGCGTGTCCTTAGAGAAGAGAAACTTGACTATGAACAGTTCAGTACACTGCTTGTTCAAATCGAGGCTTGTTTAAATAACAGACCACTATATCCAGTAACGGAAGACGTGGATAATCTCGACTGCCTTACACCTGGTCATTTTATCACTAGAACCTACACAATGCCTGAAACCTGTAATGAAAAATAATTGATTGATGCACCAAACGGAAGATAACTGAACTCATGCATCAACATATCTGGCAATGGTAGTCAAATGACTATCTACATAACCGCAAATGAAGAGCAAGTGGTTAAAATTTAAAAAAACCTACATGTTGGCGATCTAGTCACCTTGAAGGAAGATAATATACCGGCGGGAAAGTGGGAAATGACACGCGTTCTCGACCTGCAACCAAAAGCTGACGGTTATGTTCGCGTAATAACTATCCAAACGCAGAACGGCATTCTCAAGTAACCTATTACCAAACTAGCGCCGCTACTAAAACGAGAAACATCAAACTTGCCCGACCTTCGAGCTGAAACAGCAGAAGAAACAGAAAACAAAAAAGAACGGAGAACGAAGAAAGAAAAAGACTGAAGTAAATAAAAACAACTCTAACTACAAAAGAGAAAACTGAGTAATTACCTAACTTTGTCTCCATTTACATTTTTATCGAATGCAACTGCACTACCGCAGCCTCTATTCAACGCTACTCAAGTTACGAAAACATTACCTATGTATTTCGATAAAATTGGAGACGTATAGCTGATTCGTAACGAGTGGAATTGTTAGTTTATTATAATTTGACTACGAACGGACAAGAAAATGTCAGAATAAAGGAATATAAATATCAGCAATCCAGAAAATATATGCAAGAAAATGGAGAAAATGCCGTGTGAACCGGTTATAGCATAGTGGAAACATGAAAAGCGACAAGTTAACGGCTGTAACGGTTTTCTACTAAGTCACCATGTGAGCCGAAAAAAGAGAGGGCATTTAAATGGGGTTGGCTACTCCGCCCGCACACTTTTCGATATCCTAGGTGAAAACTTTGAGAAATATCATGAAGATATCGAAAAAATACAGTGAAACAAAAACTACTTACTAGAATTTATAAAAAATCAAACAAGCATCGTTGAGTTGGAGAGCAACGTAATTAAGAACAATAATTACACTATTATATATCAAATAATAAAATAATAAATAAAATTGTATATCAAGTGGAGCTTACGTCCACCATGGTAGAGATCAACGCAGCATCATTAATGGCGAACATGATATTTATTATCGAGTCTAAAACGCACTCAAAACCTTCTGCTAGACTCTCTGGCTAACATCCATAATGGGACTCTTGATATTCATCTTCTTACACCGAAACAGCTCATTCATGAGCAACGAGAAATAATATAATTTAAGAAAGGAGTTTAACGATTGGAACAAATTACATCGAAGTAACATCTGGCTTTACGTATGTTGCAATAACTACCGTGCGAATATAAATTTTAAAAAGAATATAAAACATTACAACGAATCTGGCTGAAGACGGAATAGTGAACTTATCAGATAGATGTGTCCCAAGACTCTGAGATCTACTTATATACACATTTTGGGAGTAAATTGCAGTTAAAACGTGCAACATCTGATGTACCAAACATCAATCTGCACATAAACCAACAAATTTATTTAAACAGCTATACGAGCAAGACCTATCTGTCCACTACACTAAATATAAGCGGGATCCACGAACGTCTTGACGACCAGTTGATTTGACAAAGAAAAAACGAACACCTTTTAAGCAAACCGTTGCTTAAAGAGAGAGAGATCGCTCTCGACACACGATGTCCATCAGTTTGTGTCGCTAAGAACAAACTTCGAAAACGTTGTAGGAAGCATTTCGAAGCAGGAGATGTGGCAAGAGCTTGAGATGCAACCTAACCCCTTATATCAAAAAGTCACTCGCACACCTGGGAAACCAAAGCGATTCCTTGATTATAATTCTACCGGGATGGAGACATCCTGAATTGTATATAAGAAACGCACATTTTTTACAGATCTTACGTTGTTCTATGACGGTATAGAACCGCATATTTTTAACAAATATACGCGATTTAAATCCGGAAAAATAGTTTCATTCCTATGATAACAATCGCGAAAACCTAAGAACGCATATTTTTAGTTTATCTTACTTTGCGTTCTATTTTCTGCGGCCGTTTGTTTACCTGTGCACATAAGTAGGCATTGGTTAGTGTTTTACGAACATTTAGTCAATTTAGACATGTAACAACTTAACAACAACGTCACAGATACACAACCTCATCTTATATCCTTACAAATAAACTTTGTATGTACTTAACTTATCTATCTAATACTATAGCATAGTGTTGGCCCTTACAAGGCACACCAACAGCACTGTATTAATACATTCAAACAACTTAAAACTAAAATGAACAAACGCCAAAACACAAACCAATTACAGTTGCACACATAATTTAATGACTAGTACCTGGAGGCCCAGTAAACTTATCAATATTAAAAGTGGAAAAAAAACTGTATTTAAATTTAAATCATCAAAAAATATAATCAAATTAAAAGAATAAACAATCACACTCAATTAATCGGTACGCTCGCTGACATGTATTTTAAAATGGTAAATTTGTACGTTACAAGGAAATCAACCAATACGTCGAGGTTAACTGTAGCAGCATTGAGTTCGTTCTACGTGCATCAAACACGAGTACGAATAAGTACCTAATTACATTTTCACTAGGTACAAGAACCAACGAGTAATATTTATGAAATCCAAGAAACAATAAAATCAATATTATTTCAATTGAATTACAAAATAAATAATTGTAACTTATTATAATTATTAATTACAAAGATTGAACACTCAGAAAAAATCCCTTCGATCCGGCCGGATTCGAACCGGCGTCGTCTAGCTTACCCTGGCAGATGCTATACCAACTAAGCCACGGACCAAACCAGCGGACCTCATGAATTCTT